GACAGGAAGGAAGGGAGGATGGAAGGAAGGAGAGAAGGTTGAAGGAAGGAAGTTAAGACAGGAAGGAAGGAAGGAAAGAAGGAAGGAGAGAAGGATGAAGGAAGGAAGTTAAGACAGGAAGGAAGGAAGTTAAGACAGGAAGGAAGGGAGGATGGAAGGAAGGAGAGAAGGTTGAAGGAAGGAAGTTAAGACAGGAAGGAAGGAAGGAAAGAAGGAAGGAAGGAAGGAAGTTAAGACAGGAAGGAAGGAAGGAAGTTAAGACAGAAAGGAAGGAAGGAAAGAAGGAAGTTAAGACAGGAAGGAAGGAAGGAAGTTAAGACAGGAAGGAAAGAAGGAAGGAAAGAAGGATGAAGGAAGGACGTTAAGACAGGAAGGAAGGAAGTTAAGACAGGAAGGAAGGAAGGAAGGAAGGAAGGAAGGAAGGAAGGAAGGAAGGAAGGAAGGAAGTTAAGACAGGAAGGAAGGAAGTTAAGACAGGAAGGAAGGAACGAAGGAAGAAAGGAAGGAAGGATGGAAGGAGGTTAAGACAGGAAGGAACGAAGGAAGGAAGGAAGGATGGATGAAAGGAAGGAGGTTAAGACAGGAAGGAAGGAAGGAAGGAAGGCACCTAATAAAGGATAAAAGAAGAAAGTAAGAGGAATCCATAAATAAAGGCGATAAAAGGGAAGTTAGGAGAAAGTAAAACAGAAAACTAAAAGTGATGAAAGTAATCAGCTGTTTGCATCCTGTAGAGGAACTAGAGGAACTAGAGGTCACTGGATCAGAACCGGTTCAGTCCGAATGTCCAAACCAGTATCTTCAGGCTGTCAGTGGGAACCCAGTAACAATCTGAAGCTGAATCTAAACTGGGATCATATCTACTGTTTCTAGCTCCTCTCCTTTCACAACGTTCATCCCCGATTAAAAGGGTTTAAACAAAGACTTAATTTCCAAACTGTTGGACATTTAAAAGACACAAAGGAAAGAAGGAAACTTACAAAGTAATCAAGGAAGGAAAGATGACAGATGGATAGAAATCAATTAAACTTTATTTATGAATCACCTTTAAATTATGTCTGTTTTGACCAAAGTGCTCGACAAGATTAACTCAAGACAATAAAACGAACCGTAAAAAGCTAGAAATTCAAACGCATCATGAGAAAGTATAAAAATACCAACAGTAAAAAACCTTTTTAAATAAACTGGGTTGAGTTTAGCTTTGAAGAGGCAGAAATAAAAGATTAAGAGGGAAGAATTGACAGATGAATACAATATTTCTGATTCAACTTAAAGTCTGTAAATACTCTTATTTTTTATACTATATTAATGCATATTCTGCCTCTGATTGACTGTCAAAGCTTCCCATAAAACAAACAGACTCACCTACAGAAGCTGGCTTTGGGGTGGAAGTCGGAGATCTTGGGGTTTTCTAAGTACTGGAAAGCAGAATAGATTTCCTTGGTGGTGTTTTTCCCGTACTTCACCTTAACCGTCAGCAGATCTGAAGGAACCTTCTGGCCATTATAGCGGCCGGTCTTACAGGAGATGGTTTCCCCAAATGATAAACTGGAGAAAAGAGGGCGGTGAGGACTGGGATGTACTGGTTTATAGAAGTCTGACCGGAAAGAAATGACACTGCTTACATTTCACAAGCAACGTCACCGACGGAGACGGTAACGTCGTCTTTAGTAGCCGTTTCCAAGGCGTCTCCTTTGATGGTTATCTCTGTTCCTCCGGCTGCAGGACCCTTCGACGGATGGACGGTTTTCGGTTTGGGATCCTAAACGAAAACATAAAAAAAACTGCTGGTTAACAAGACTTTATGGATACATCCTTTATGTCAGGTCTTCCAGCAAAGCAGCACCAGATGATCACACTGCCACCTCCGTGTTTGTACTTCTGTCTCAGTTTGCAGAGAATAATCTTACTATAGTCATGACAATAATCTGCTGCGACGCCTGGGACAAGGAGTCGGATTAATTCTGGTTAAAATGTCCATACAGGAAGCTTCTCCAATATTTGTAGATAGATAACGCCTCCAACTGGAGTCCACAAGTCTTAGATGTAGTTTTAAAACTCGATTTTAGACACTGGTTCTGATCTGTGTTGGTTTTTGAGATCACCTAGCCCAGCGGTGGGCAACTCCAGTCCTTAAGGGCCGGTTTCCTGCAACATTTAGATTCATCCTTGGTCAAAAACACCTGAATCAAATGGTTGAATTATCTCTCCAGTATGCATTCGATTTCTCCAGGACTGGAGTTGCCCACCGCTGACCTAGCCTACTTCATGTTGCCAAACAAGTTGCTTAGAAACCTTTAACCTTTGAATTTCAGATAAAAAGCAACAACAGCAAAAGAGATTGATAAGGCTAAAACTGATTGCTGTACTGAATGTAAAAATCTGATTCAAGACCAATGGAGGGAAATCTGGACATATTCTGCTCCTTTAAAGGTCTGAATTTGTTCTTGTGCTCACAGTGTATCGTTACAGGAAGTTAATAAAAGATAAGGAGCGCACTACTAGTTTACTTTTCTCTGCTTGTTTTGACTCTGACAAAAGTAGGGGAGGGATCCTTCTTCTTCAAAACATGAAGGATCAGTGACTGCAGAGTGCAGGAGTCCAGGTGTGCGCTCTTACAATCCGCCCTGCACACGTCTGAGGCTGTTCTCAAACATTTGCCTTGTTTGTGTTTCAGATTTGTTGTCACTGTTATCAGAAGCAGAGCAGGAAGCTCAAAAATAAACATCCTCAAACGGAGAGAAACTCTGAACAACTTCGCCGCGGTTAGAAGTTGTGCAAAGACAGAACAGCAGCGCAGGAGGAGGCGGTAGCTGGAATATCTCAGAGTCAGGATCTGACAAGAAACAAACGGATCAGAACCAGATGGCAGCTGAAACAGATGGGCCTGGTTCAACATTTCAGAAACTAAAACAGCGATCAGCTGAACTTTTAGGGGCATTTTAAAGGAAAAGTTCAGTAACATTCAGAATTCAAACTTCTGAAAGTTCTTTAAATCTGAAATGATTCCATCCTGTTC